GAGAGCTGTCACCCAGGGGAGCCGCGAGAAAGTCGCGCCGAGCGCTTCCTCTTCTCCCCGAGTTCTTCGGCGAAATTCCCTCGCGCGCATGAATGCTCCGGCGGAACGTGGCTGCCGCCCAAACTGGGGCAGGCGCGGCCCAAGAAAGTGCCGGCGAAAGTGTATCACCCAGATCCGCCCTAAGCGAGGGCGCGCGCGCGCGGTGTGCCCCGCTGGCAGCCGCTGCATAGATAGAGACGCATCCCGCGCCTTCGGCACTCTGTGCGGGGCTGCCACGGGCCGCGTCCTTGATAGGCCTATTTATGGCGACGGAAAACCGCTCGCCTTCCCGAGGAAACACGAGTTCTTGGCAAGAACAGGGGCGCCGAGCCAAGAGTCCGCCCCGACAGCGTCCCCAAACATTTCCTGCACGACCATCCTATTAGCCACCGACAAAAGCACACATTTTGAAGGGAGAAAAAAACAAAAAGTTTCGGATAACCGCGAAAGTGTTTCGGGCTCGGGGCCAGCTTCGCGTGTGCGAGGAATGCGTCCAGAGAACTCGTAACTCGCCTCCCTCGCAATCTTGCATGGACCGTGTCGTAACTACGCCGACGCGTTGATCGGTTTCCAGGTTGCGTGGTGGCGCGGATGTTTACCCTTAAGCATGGCTCGGAGAAGGCTTTCCTGCAGCGCATGCCAATCAGTCATTCCTGTTTTGACGATCAACGGCTGAGCCGAGAACAAAACCCGGAACTAGGGGGGGGGGGGTCTGATCGGGTAACTGCGGAGCTTACCGTCGAACGAGATCGCTTCACAATGCTCATTTGAGTCAATGGTTGAATTTGCTGCCCACTTTTCAGATTCAGCATTGGGTGAACAGCACGTTGAAGAGGACAAACTGTTTGTTAAAAAAACACTCGTGCCGTCAACCCTACCAAATTTGACAGTATTTAATGTATTGATTAATGCGCTCGGCAGAACGTTCGCGCACATTTCTTCTGCCGAAGCGCGCCCCCGCCTACACTCTAAGAAATGCCTGCGCGTCTACTTACCCGCAAAACACTCGAACAGCCAATTTCTGCGAGCTACGAAATCAGCTCAGCGAATGATGAGGCGGCACATATGTGTCATTACGCAATGCCAGCATGACACTTTGCATTACGTAATGCCACAGCACAGACTTCATTTTTAGGTCTAAACGGAATTTCCGCCTTATCATTCGCTGAGCTGATTTCGTAGATCGCAGAGATTGGCTCGTTGACGCGCAGGCATTTTTAGAGTGTAGGTATGTAGTACACTCTAAAAAAAAAGCCCGTGCGTCTACTTTCCCGCACAACACTTGGAGAGCCAATCACCGCAACGTACGGAGGCAGCTCAGCGAATGGCGATGCCGAAACATATGTTTAGACCAAAAAACGCAGTCTGAGTTGTGACATTAAGCAATGCAAAACATCACGCTTGCATTGCTTAATATCAAACTCAGACTGCGTTTTTTTTTCTAAACATATGTTTCGGCATCGTCATTCGATGAGCTGCCTCCGTACGTTGCGGTGATTGGCTCTCCGAGGTTGTGCGGGAAAGTAAACGCACGGGCTTTTCTTAGAGTGTATGTAGTACGTATGAAGAATGTAAAATGAAAACTGTTGCTGTGGCTGACGTTCGTTTTCAACGGGAAGAGAGAATGCCCACGCGTACTGGTAGCCTCCTTAGGAAGGGCCAAAACTACGACCTAGGCCGCAAGACCGACCCGAAAGGGGGAAGGGATCAGAAGAGGATCGGAGAGGGCGATTCATTTGGTCAGGGATTTCTGGATTAGTACTAGAGTTGAATCGGGAAAGCCCCTTGACAAGGTGGATGCTCCCGAACGTTCTGCTGGAAATATTGCCCGCAGAAAACGGTTGACTGTGATGGTCGCGACACGAAGGCCTGACTACTCCCTGCCGCATGCCGGAAAGTTAGGTGCGCGTTGCGAGTCGAACCATGCAGCCAGGTACATTCCTAAACAATAGTTACAATTCAACTATTTGTGCTCTTTGTTTCTATGTTCCAACTCCCCATTTGCTGTGTCCTAACCGCTTTTTGGTTTCTTGATGACAAGATAATGCTTATGATTTACTTTCTCCTTAACTAGTACCGCGTGTCTTCAGTGGCAGTGGTAAACACATCGAGTACGACTTCAAAAGGTATGCGCTAGAAGCTCCTTCCAAACCAGGGCTGGGTAGTGTCGATATAAAAATGTGTTGCGATGGTATCTTGAGATACCTTCGAGTGTCTGTATCTCTGTATCGAGAATTCGAGATACATTTGTAACATCTATTTGTATCTAGTAGTGAAATGCATTTACAATGTATCGCTTGTATCGCGATACTTTGCCGTACTTAGGTATCTCTACATTTGTCGCTCTTTTTAAGATAAATTTAAAGGATAAAAACATCTGTTTGGTGCAAGTTGCTTCGGAATTTATAATATTAACTTGCCCTATAACATGATCCATCTCAGTCACCAACATTAGAAAAAAGAGAAAAACTGTTGTTTAAAGACGTTTATTTTCAAGAATAACAAAATCAGCTCCTGTTGCAAAGCCCTCCACTCTTTCCAATTTAGCAGAGCGAACGCCGTAAAGAAGTTGAGCCGCTTTGAATCAGAATGGCATGGAAGGTTTTATTTGCCAGCAAGCAGTGAACTGTTTTCCAGCACGACGCAAACGGTAGGACCCAGCGTTCGCATTGGACTGCTCGGGCCCAATTCCGTCGCAGACTTCTCGGTCGGAAACCAATGCGGAGCGCATGTTCGTCTGCTTCTTGCACAAATTGCGATGATGTCAGAATGCTCAGCTCTTAATGGATGATTGAAAAACAAAATACTAGGTAGACCTCAAGGCATCTAGCATAGAGGGCTACCCACAATCCTTCCAATCAAAGCCAATCAGTGCTCGGCGTCGTTCGGACATCCCCGCAACCCATGCGTAAAAAGCAGACGACTTGCTCTCTGCCTATAGTGTCACGCTACTGCATGTCTTCGTGGTGTTATTGCACCCCACAGCCAATGACCAATTCCCCTTACACCCCATCGTATGCGGCAAACAGCCTAAAGACTGATTCACACAGTTGCGACCGACTCCGACACAACCTGTTTTTAAGCCTCTTGTGAGTGCTTACGACAGTCAGCGCAGCCGCAGGGATGGCGATCGCTTAAAAGCTGGTTGTGTCGGTCGCAACGCACTCAAACGCAAATGAACTAACCAGCCGTAAACCAGACGCACTTCGCAAAACCGCGACACTCACTATCACTACAATGCACAGCGCCATGGTGTAGGGAGCGGCGTCTGCTCTCGGATACATTTGACGTCACGAGTGCTCCTTCTCGTTGTTGCCAGCAGGGTGGCAGCAGGTGATATGGAGGTGTACGCGTAAACTTCAAAATTTTTTTCCTCAAAAGAAAATTAATATGTTGATTAAATAATTTGGTAGACATACTCACGGGTAGATATTTAGTACATGGTGAAAATTTATTAACATCAGTGGTAATAAAACCTGAGACTCAGGAACACAGAAGGGGACGAACACAACACAACGACTCAATTGAGACGTTGTGTTGTGTTCGTCCCCTTCTGTGTTCCTGAGTCTCGGCTTTTATTACCATGAATCATCACCAGCTCGCTTGTTTTTTTTTAAGTATCATTGCAGTTAACATCAGTGACCGTCAATATTTCGCCTTTTTAAAGAAACACTGACACCCACCCATTAATGTTTATGCCAGGCGATTTAATATGGTGTCCGAAGACTATCGAATCAATATTTTGCTACATCGTCACATATATTTTTAATATAGTAAAAAAACGAAACTGCTCGGAACTGAAACCGAAACTGGACTGTGGAGGAAGCAGAAATATAGAGTAGAGAGTTGCCGGAAGTCACGTGGCTACACCTAACCGCGTTTCCTTTTTTTTTTTTTTTTCCCCTTTGTTTTTCCAGCCGTGCGAAGCACACGAAAAACGCGCACGTCGCACGAAAAACGCGAAAGTTAAGCACTTCGTACAATGTCAAACACTTCATGCTTGACGTTTCCGCGTTTATCAAGCTCTGACCAAATCGCATTCGTAAGACGAGCGATGTCTTCAGCCAGGAGAAGGGGGCGACAACTCGGCGACGTCTTTGTGAGAATCAGCTTGGTGGTCGGGCGTGGCGTACGGAATAAATCCTGAGTGTTTTGATCGGTAAACGATTTCTCTTTCGAAGCTAGACAGATTCGCCGGTACCTCAAACAAGAGTTCTGAAGTAGAGGTCCCACGCACGTCGTCCGTCGCCATCGCTTAGTCTGCTTCATTCAGCCGTCCAGCACGCGACTCTCGCGATACGACGCCATGTTGAGAATTAGGCAGAGAATGCACCGAGTGCTGCTGGTTCTCTGTGCAACATTTTTTTTTTTTTTTTTCAAGCAACGTATTTGCAGTTTTTTAGAAGCTACGAAAAATGGGTATAATTTTTTTATATTTAATATTGAGACTGTGCCTTCAATGACTCACGACTTTGATTATGTTTGGCGTGTGCGTCTAAACCATAGAGAACGGCGCGTTACCACGGAGAAGAGAGGGAGCGCAACTCAAGCCGGCCAGTTCTCTCTCGGTCGACGGTTTTCGGGCGGAAGGAAAACGAATTTCGAGCCGCTAATTGTGTTCTGGGTAATTGGGCTTTCATACGTCATGTACAAATAAAAACCTTGGCGAGCATAAATACCCTGTCAGTGTCCCTTTAAGTTCGATTTTAGCAGGTAGGGGCCTTTCCAATACGCATCATATTTTGATGTATACATTTTTAAATGTAGTACTGCATCCGTCGCACGCGGGGTTAGGTATTCTGTCAGCGATGCGAGTCCATTACTGAAACGAGGAGCAGGGAAGTGTGCGAATGTGCCAAGGAGCAAGAGTGCTTCCTTTTTTCTTTTTTTTGTTAGCCGTATTTGTTAGGCGACTGCACCACAGTCCCTGACCGGTCACATGTGTTCTTTTGTCTTTTCAGATGGAAATAGCCTTGAGCGAGCCTTGCATGCCAAAGGAATGGTGGCCGAACAGGGTAAATACCCCATTCCTCGTTCGTTCTGGGGGCAAACCAGGCACGTAGCCAAGGAAGGGGGGGGGGGGGGGGGGGAAGAAGGGAGCCCATGGGCCCCCTCCCCCCCGAGATCTTACATTTTGCTGGGGCCTCCTCTCCCCCCTCCCCCTCACACAGCATTTTGACATGGTATGAGCCCCCCTCCCCCCGAAACTAAATCCTATCCTGGCTACGTGCCTGGGACAAACCACATTGTCTCACTTGACTCAGTGCTGCAAAACGCCGTGATGCACTACGATCCGGGCTGCGGCGCACAGAACTTCCGGAAACCCCCAAACAGTGGAAGAGAACGGACAAGGTTAAGGCTGAAGTTTAGTTTCGTGCCAGATCTCGATGGCACCAAGTAGCGAAAAAGTTGTCTGAAAAGAACTTTTTTCCAAGAGTGCCGGATACACTGCACTGAAATAATAGACCGGAGTTATACTCGGCTCTGGGTACAAAGCATGCTCTTCAAGAGGTTGGAAAGGGGGGGGGCACTAATTCAATCAGAAAAAAGGGGGATTCTGCACAAAATTAGAAGTGGCTAGAAATTATTTTAAGTACTCTCTGAAAAAAAAGCCCGTGCGTCTACTTTCCCGCACAACACTCGGAGAGCCAATCACCGCAACTTACGGAGGTGACAACTCAGACTGCGTTTTTTGGTCTAAACATATGTTTCGGCCTCGTCATTCGCTGAGCTGCCTCCGTAAGTTGCGCTGATTGGCTCTCCGAGTGTTGTGCGGGACAGCAGACTCACGTTTTTTTTTTAGAGTGGTACCCCTCTCAAGCGCTCAGTTTGTGTATCCAAAGCATTACACCTATTCTAAAAATAATATAGCGTTTTGAAGAGGTGTAATCGGTTTGAACCGCCTGCCAAACACCATTATAGGTGTTTTGAAGTTTACTGCATCGAAACCGAAATACCCGAATCGGTGAAGCGCCGAGGGGCGTGAACGGCTTTCCCGAGCAACGAGGCACTCCAGCTCCAGCGGGCGGCCCCTCGCCCAATCAGGCAAGGAAGCAGGCGTTCAATTGGACCAGGCAGATAATCGGCCACCCAACAAGCCCGGCCGCAGGCCGCTGAATCGAGTCGGCAGCGAAGCCGTCGCCGCGCCGTCGTCTCATTGGCTGCCGGCATCGGCCAGTGTCAATGATACAGCTGGTCGAGTCGTGACAGTTGGACCGCGGGAGCGCCGCCGGCCAGCACCGACAGGATAGGAAGTGCCCTCCCGAGCAGGGAGGCACCGCGCTCGGCTCCAAAGGGCAAGAAGACGTGTCGCGACCTGGCCCCACCGTGCGGCTCCGCCGAGCGCGGCATCGGGTTGTCTGGAAAGCCGGCATCTCAAAGGGGAGCGCGAGAAATTGTTTTAGCCGCTCATCCAGCTAGGCAGCCGGCTGGGTATTTCGAGATGGATGGCACGGCCTGTCGGAAGGGGAAACGCCGACAAGGCAGACGAACGCCGCTCTCTCCAGTCGGAGGAAGTGGCCGGCCACCGGAACACCGCAGGGCCATCTCCGTCATGAAGGAGGTTGTGGCACGCTTGCATCAACAACAACCGCAACAGTAACAACAACACTATAGAAAACAGTCACGACCTGACTTTATCCGTGTCCCTTTTATCAGAGTCAATATTCGTTATATTAGATCGTTCATGTACGCATATCGCCAGGATCACTCAGAGGTAAAGGCCCCTATCCCCGAGTATGCGAGAAAAGTTAACATATACCGTATTTACTCGGGTATTAGCCGCACTGTTTATAAAGAAAACCCGAGGGTTGGCTTTTCCGCGGAGCACGCCGATTGCCAATCACCGCTATTGACAGCATGATTCCAGCTGTTTACAGGACAGAGATAAGGTCTTCGCGCGAAGATACCATCTGTGAAGATTGCGTTTGTATGGAGAATCGTGTTCTCGATCTAGTTATTCGCTATGTTATTTATGCGCAACGCAATGATTGGCTGTATATGTGTTCTGCGGTAAAGTAGACGCAAGGGCCTTGTTCATAAATAGTGCGGCTATTACTCGAGTAAATGCGGTATATATATAGTTAAATTTGTTAATTACATTTTTAGTTGTTGAAAATAGACATAGGGTTTCAATAAGAAATTTGCCGAGCGTCGTCCAAAACCGCTAAATCAGTCATTTCTAGAAAGGCTTTGAGCGCGTGAGAAAGCGCAGTAGTGCTCTGAAGTTACCACTCGTGAAGCAGGTACAAGGCTGGGACTAGATAAGAGACGGAAAAATCGCGCAATCGCCTTACCGCAACCCTAGCCTTGTACCTGCTCCACGAGTGGTAACTTTGGCGCACTACTTTCTCACGCGCTCAAAGTCTTTCTAGAAATGACTGATTTAGTGGTATTAAATAACGCTCGGTAAATTTCTAATTGTGATCATGTTTATTTTCAATAGTTGAAAAGTTAATTAACGAATTGTATTTAATTACTCACCTGAGTGTGGCGGTTCTTCGCCATCGAATGTCCGCCGATCTGAAGGAGCGTATAGTGAAGACGGCATTTACGTAGTAGTAAAGAAGCCCTTTTTTTAAATCTGTCGCGATGTCTCGTAAATATTGACACCTCCGTTCCTTCCAAAAATCGTGCATAATGTGAGTCGCGCATAATAACGAGACAAAAAAATCACGTATTTTCACACTGAATTCCCAAAATGGTGTCCATATAGCGGGAGTGCCCCACAAGATAGGACATTCGAGAAGATGAACACGAGTTGGTGATTGCACATCCTGCTGAGGTTACTGTTATCGATCATCTTTCACAAATCATTTCCTGCGTACAGAGAAGCGAGTGATTCGCGGTTTCGACCGAGACCATCCGAGACGGGCGGACACATCCGGCGCTCCTCTCGGCGAGGCTGCCTCGAGCTCTGGGCGACGCAACAGGCGCAGCCCGCGCATTGGCAGGCGACCATTTGCATGTCCGCCACTTCCGCAGCCGGCACGCGGCAGCGCGCGACGCGGCCCTGTCGCGCCCGAAGGCGAAAGGGGGCGCCTTCCCTTCCCGAGCAGTCGCAAGCGACCCAGTTTCTCAGCCGTTAAAACAGTGTTTATCATCGTTACACCCGCGCCGGATTAGCATACAATTCCGTCGCCGCGGTGTATGACAACCACTTGGAGCGGAACATGACTGGCGACAAGCAGTGCGCTCGCTCCTCGGCCATTGTCGCCCTCCTCGCAAGGAGGCGCGGGCTCCCGATTCAGAAATCCGGTGGCCCACCAGGAAGCGGGCTTTCCCGCCACGCACAAACGCCCCCGCGCCCCGCGCTCTCGCCACTTGGCAGGGCGCGAACCAAAGCACGCGTGTCGCTCGCGAGCTCCCCATCGCGGCTCCATTTGGAGCGGTTACACGCAAGGAGGTGACGAGGGCATATGCGCAGGGGAGCAGAAAGGCACCGGGAGCTCTTCGCTTATACCAATTTGCTTTGGATACTGGTGGTCATTCATCAAGATCCGAAAGCTCCCGCTGCAGAACCCTGGGTTCAATCTCTACCTTTGCCCGTTTCGATTTGCATGAGCATCGTACCGGCGTGCGGTCGTGTATAGCTGTGATAACGAACGTTAAAGACCTCAGGCTAGCAGTGGTATCGTACTGGCTGAATGTCTGATTTACAGCTGAGACACCAGACGCCCATTGGGGCTGAATAACTCCCGCTTTCTAAACATACACGAAGCCCACAATTTCTTCAAGGTACGTTTCTTGAAGAACAACGCTGCTGCTACACCACCTCTAGGATAATTTGTCACAAATCAAAGAATGCTTCGCAGCCGTATCCATCGTTCGAAAAGGATTCCCTAAAACTTGTTTCTCGGATGCCTTTCGGCAAAATAGTCCCTTTTATGAAATCGGTTTTAATGCGGTCGATCAAGCCAGAACGCAGGGCGCCATGTCCCTCGGAACAGGCAGGTTTCCACCGTCCAGTAAAGTGCAACGACAAGATACGCGGATCGACTTTAGGCTCATTGAAAATAGGAGATCGCCAGGCAGGCACCCGAAACATGCGGGTGTAAACACAAGGTGGAGGCCAGTGCTGCCCTGGTTTATACCGAAAACAAAAATTGAAAACGTAGAGGCTCGTACAGAAAAGAAGGAAGAAAAAAAAGACCCCATCCCACGTATTTTAAGATTTATGCTAAAGTCGTCCTTCCCTTTTTAATTTATATTGAATTGTGTCTCGTGTTCATCGTGGCTCCTGGTTCTAGAATATGCTGGTCGGAAGATGAAATTTAACTGATTCGCCACACATAACTAAGTGTGTGCGTGAGATGGAGAGAGCGAAAGAGAGACAGCCTGAAAGTTTGAAAGATCTCAATTGTGTTCCTAGTAAGGTTTGAAAGGACCATACAAAGCTTTCCCGGTGTAAAGGGAACAAAAGAAGACCTTCGTCGTCAAGTCGCCCTTATGCACCAGACGCAGAAAGAGCACGCGACAAAGCGGCGTCACGCTTCGAGCCTCAAGGATACTAGAATATATATGACAGAGCTAAAAGAATGCTGGCAAGGTGGCCTTATAAGCTATTTGTTTTTCCTCAAGTTTTGAAATTTTTATACCTGTGGCAACCGTTTTTTATCCACTCTGGTAGTCGCAACGTTTCTATGTTGTTTAGTAACGGCAGGATTGTAATCTCCGCGTAACCGACCCCTCTCCAAATTTCCTTGCACAGCGCTCTAAGTTATGTATTTATTGTATATATATATATTAAAAGAATCCGTGAGAAGCGCAGTAGTGCGCTATAGTTACCACTGGTGCAGCAGGAGCAAGGCTATCGGCGCGATAAGGCGCCCGCGCGATTTCTCAGTCTCTTATCATAGCCCCAGCCTTACCCCTGCTGCACCCTTGATGTGGCGATCGGGGATTAACCAGGAAACGTTTCGGGACCTGGTCTGTCCTCCTTCTGTCCGGTGAACACCTGAATGAACTTCGTTTTCTTTCATCGGTATAAAATAGTCACGGAAAGTAAAAGAAGTCT